TTGAGAGCAAAATGAGGTATTCCATAGACTATACAAGAAAATAGTCAGTGAAGAAAAATAGAGTGTGAGCGATATTTTACTAAGACGGAAACCAAAAGAGTGTTTTTCCTTTTGAGTGTGTAGTAGTCACTTTGAGTATTGTATTCGTGACTACACAGTGTAAAATTTCTTACTATAGTAATATCAATTGCTCCTCTTGGTCCGTGGTTTTTTCCCTTATTTAGAAGGTTTTCCACGTAAAATTCTTGGTGTCGTTATTTTCCCATTTTATTTCCATTACTTTTACCATATATATTTTTGTGCTTGTCCGCGTTTTCCCAACAAACTAGTATCAGGGCCATTGTTTTATCTGAGTATGCTCTGTGGTTGCGGCACAGTCTGAACTTTCACATCAGAAAAGATTTACTTTGATTTGCGATAACTATAGTTTTTGGGGAAAACAATGAAATCCAACACAAGTAATATGGTTACTTTGAATGGTGTTAATTATATCATTTGGAAGGGAAAAATGGACGATCTACTTTATGTGAAGAATTTTTACAAATCAGTATTTACCATTGTAAAGCCTGATAATAAGACAAATGAAGAGTGGAACCTGTTGCATAGACAGGTTTATGGATTCATTGGGCAATGGGTCGACGATAATGCGTTGAACTATATTTCTGGGGAAACAGATTCTCGAACCCTATGGGAGCATCTTGAAATTTTGTATGCTCGAAAAACTGGCAACAACAAAATATTCTTAATAAAGCAGATGTTGAGTTTGAAGTATCATGATGGTTCTCCGATGACAGACCATCTGAATAATTTTCAAGGGATTATGAACCAATTATCTGCTATGGGCATCAAATTTGATGAAGAAATTCAAGGCTTGCTTCTACTTGGTTCCCTACCAGATTCTTGGGAAACATTTAGAACGTCTTGTCAAATTCTGCTCCGAATGGTGTGATCTCTATGGATTCCGTCACGAGTAGTGTCTTGAACGAAGAGATGAGAAGAAAAACTCAAGGTTCCTCTTCGTCGGATGTCCTGATAACTGGCCCCAGGGGGAGAAATAAAACTCGTGGTTCTCAGCATAGAGAACAAAATAGGAGCAAATCTAAAGACAGATTTAAGGATATTGAGTGCTATCATTGTGACATGAAAGGGCACACAAAGAAGTTCTGCAGGAAGTTGAAGAGGGATAACAAAAACAAAGAGGAAACTAAAGAAGATGGCAATGAAAATTGCCTAGCCACCGTCACCATCGAAGATCTTCTTACCGTTCTTGATGCAAACATGATAAATATTGCTTGTGATGAGTCAAGTTGGGTTGTGGACACTGGTGCCGCATCTCATGTGACATCAAGGAAGGATTTTTTCTCTTATGACACTCCTGGTGATTTTGGAACCTTGAGTATGGGTAATGAGACTGTTTCTAGGGTGGTTGGTATTGGTACAATTTGTTTAGAAACTAGTGTTGGAACTAAACTAGTTTTGAACAATGTGAAACATGCTCCTGATGTTCGTCTACACCTAATTTCGGTTGGTGTTTTAGCTGATGAAGGATATGTTAGTACCAACGGTGATAGAAAATGGAAGCTCATTAAGGGTTCCTTGGTTGTGGCTCGCGTAGCAAATGTCGTGATCTATACAGGACTACAACCTTTGCTTGTGTTGATATGGTGAATGCGGTTGAGAGCGATAGCTCTTCAACATTATGGCACAAGATGCTTAGCCACATTAGCGAGAAAGGACTTAATATTCTAGCCAATAATAAATTATTGTCAAATTTCCAAAGTGCTTAATTAGAAAAATGTGAGCACTGCTTGGCTGGTAAACAAAATAGAGTTTCCTTAAAATCCTACCCTCCTTCGAGAAAGACAGAGTTGCTTGAGTTAGTGCATTCTGATTTATGTGGTCCAATGAAGACAAAGACATTGGGTGGTGCACTTTACTTTGTCACTTTCATTGATGATTGCTCGAGAAAACGTTGGTTCTATGTCTTGAATACTAAAGACCAAGTGTTAGGTGTCTTTAAGCAGTTCCAGGCTTCAGTTGAAAGAGAAACTGGAAAAAAGTGAAATGTATTCGTACTGATAATGGTGGTGAATATTGTGGACCATTTGACAAATACTGCAAGCATCAAGGTATTAGACACCAGAAGACTCCTCCCGAGACTCCTCAGCTTAATGGTTTAGCTGAGAGGATGAACAGGACCTTGATGGAAAGAGTTAGATGTTTGCTTTCTGAAGCAAAGTTGCCAAACTCATTTTGGGGTGAGACTTTATTGACCGCTGCACATGTTATTAATCTATATCCTGCTGTTGCTTTGCAAAGTGATGTATCAAATAGTGTTTGGTATGGAAAGGATGTTTTCTATGACCATTTGAGAGTATTTGGTTGCAAAGCTTTTGTACATGTGCCGAAAGATGAGAGGTCAACGTTAGATGCCAGGACAAGGCAATGCATCTTCATTGGATATGGCCTAGATGAATTTGGTTACATGCTATATGATCCAATTGAAAAAAAACTTGTGAGAAGCCATGATTATTTTCATAGATAATCAAACAATTGAAGATATTGACAAAGCGGAGAAGGTAGAATCTTCAAGTATTGATGGTATAGTTCATCATGATGAAGTTCCTCACACAAGTGTGCATGATGATGTTGGGTTTGATAATCATGGTAACGCCCAGAATCATGTATTGAATCAACATGTTAATGTTGATAATAACAATGATATTGTTATTGATTATCCTGTTGCTCATGAAGTTGTGGACGAATCAAATATTCCGCTTCGGAGGTCCACAAGACAGCGGTTTCCTTCCTCCCGTTATTCACCCAATAAGTATATGTTACTCACTGACGGGGGAGAACCTGAATGTTATGAAGAAGAGACCATGGAAGATGAGCACAAGAATCAATGGATTGAAGCCATGCAAGACGAGATGAAGTATTTGCATGAGAACCACACTTATGAGTTGGTAAAATTGCCCAAGGGCATGAGAGCTTTGAAGAACAAGTAGGTGTTCAAAATTAAAGTTGAAGAACACAACTTGAAGCCCAGGTACAAAGCTAGATTGGTTGTTAGGGATTCGGTCAAAGGAAGGGTATTGACTTTGATGAAATATTTTCTCCTGTTGTGAAAATGTCCTCGATTCACACAGTTCTAGGTTTCGCTGCTAGTCTTAATTTAGAGATTGAGCAGATGGATGTAAAGACGACTTTCCTTCACAATGACCTAGAAGAAGAGATTTATATGAAAAAATCTGAGGGCTTCAAAGTATATGGTAAAGAAAATTTTGTATGCAAACTCAAAAAGAGTCTCTATGGCCTAAAACAAGCTCCCAGACAGTGGTACAAAAAGTTTGAATCTGTTATGGGGGAGCAAGGTTATAAGAAGACTTCTTCAGATCATTGTGTATTTGTACAAAAATTTTCTGACAAAGATTTTATCATCCTTTTGTTGTATGTGGATGATATGTTGATTGTGGGTAAGAATACTTCCAAGATTGACGAGCTGAAGAAAGAGTTGTGTAAGTCTTTTTCTATGAAAGACTTGGGTCATGCCAAGCAAATTCTGGGCATGAAAATTGCTCGTCTTAGAGATAAAAGGAAGATTTATTATCCTAGAAGAAGTACATTAAACGCGTACTGGAGCACTTCAATATGAAGAATGCTAAGTCTGTTAGTATACCTCTTGCTGGTCATATGAAGTTGAGCAAGAAGATGTGTCCTACAGCTAGGGAGAAAAAAGAGAACATGGCCAAAGTTCCATATTCCTCCGTCATCGGAAGTCTAATGTATGCAATGGTTTGCAATAGACCTGATATTGCTCACGCAGTTGGTGTTGTCAGTAGATTTCTCAAAAATCCCATAAAAGAGCATTGGGAAGTTGTGAAGTGGATACTCAGGTATCTTAGAAGAAGCTCAGATGAATGCTTGTGTTTTGGAGCATCAAATCCAATCTTAAAAGGCTATACAAATTCTGATATGGCAGGTAACCTTGATAACAGAAAATCCACTACTGGATATTTGTTTACTTTTTCAGGGGGAGCTATATCATGGCAGTCAAAGTTGCAGAAGTGTGTTGCACTATCTACAACTGAGGCTGAGTATATTGCGACTACTAAAGCCGACAAGGAGATGATATGGCTAAAGCGATTTCTTCAAGAGCTTGGTTTGAATTAGATGGAGTATATTGTCTATTGTGACAGCCAGAGTGCAATAGACTTGAGCAAGAACTCCATGTACCATGCAAGAACAAAACACATTGACGTCAGATATCATTGGATTCGTGAGAAAGTGGAGAATGAATCATTTCATGTCAAAAAGATTCACACAAGTAAAAATCATGCTGATATGCTGACCAAGATGATACTGAAAGACAAGTTCGAGTTATACAAAGAACTTGTGGGTAAAGAAGCTGAAGATACCTTCTTCCAGTAAATGGGACTGGAGGGGAAGATTTATTGAATCTCCCATTGTTTTAGTCAACTTTAGCTATTCAATTGGTACAAGCAATTGTTAAAAAGGAATAATAATTGGAGTTGAAAATAAAAGATTTGTAGTTGGCAAATTGGTAAAATTTGCAATCATTCTTGACTTTGCTATGTTTACATATGTCATTTAGGCATGGTTTTATCCTTCTATAAATAGAGCATTCTTGCTCATTTGTAGAACACACCAAGTTAGAGAGAAAAATCATTTTGAGAGCAAAATGAGGTCTTCCATAGACTATATAAAAAAATAGTCTGTGAAGAAAAATAGAGTGTGAACGATATTTTAATAAGACGGAAACCAAAAAAGTGTTGTTCCTTTTGACTGTGTAGTAGTCACTTTGAGTATTGTATTCGTGACTACACAGTGTAAAATTTCTTAGTATAGTAATATTAATTGCTCCTCTTGGTCCATGATTTTTTCCCTTATTAAGAAGGATTTCCACGTAAAATTCTTGGTGTCATTATTTTACTATTTTATTTCCATTACTTTTACCATATATATTTTTGTGCTTGTCCGCATTTTCCCAACATCTTTCAGGTGGAGCAATCTCGCACCTCAAGCGTCCTTGCTCCAAGATTTGACGGCTCAATTTTTTTTCCGTTCAAGTTTCTTGAAGAAATCAATGATGCGAAAAGCATCAAAGGATATTCCTTATCTCTTGGGATGTTTTGGATTTCGAATTGAAATCCCAAAAAAATTTCTCCCTCCCGTTTCCGATCATTTTTTCCCTCATTCTCATCTATAAATACTGCTCTTCTTCTCTATTGTTGGGGTTTTTTTTTCTGAAAACTTTTTTTAGTGACATTCAGAAATTAGCTACAATACTACATAGAAATATACATAGAAAATACATAAATTTTGAGGTAAAAAGGACCCGAATCAGACAAGTTATATAAAGGATACTCAACTTCCTCTCTCTGTTTTCGTGGTTTCATTTTGGTGGAAGAATCGTCTTCGTGTTAAGCTCGTCGTCTCGGGTCGCTGCCCACAACAAGGTAAATTATTCTTTTAACACTCTTAGTTCTTTCGCTTTTGATGTAGGTTAGATAATGGCGTTGTGTTTTGATCCGCATTAAAATACTCTTGTTGGGTGTATTCAAGTCTAAGAGTCCTTTTTGTTTTGTTTTTTTTATTTTATAAGTGTTGTTGTGCTCTCACCTTGTTTAGTTAGCATCTAAAGAGACTTGAGTTGTCGATTTTGTATTTTATGAGTTCGAAATGCTGTTTGTTCACTGTGGGGTTTGTTCATGAAACTTTTTAGTATTGTTACGTTGCAAATATTTTCAAACTGATAGCTTTAGGTCTCTACGGTTAAATCGGGTATCGTTTATGGCGTAAAATGTGAAGCGTGCAACATACTCTCTCTCTCTATTACTCTATACTTTGAAATCTTTGTTATTTGTTGATCATTGGTTCATAATGTGAGCCTTCTTTTGCTTGCATATGCTTTTTCCCTTTTGAGCTTTTACTATAACTACATATGTTTTTCCTAGGAATTTGCTTGTGGTAGGATTCTTAGAACTTTGTCATTTTTTATATCGTATTAAATCTCCTCCCGTTCATCTTTGGTCACAAGATAAGTAGTAAAGGTTTTTCTTGCTAATAATAGATATATTGTCTTTCTGAAGTGCACAAGTTATCGAGAATAGCAATAGTTTGGAGCTTTTTAAAAAAAAGCATGGTGACGAAGTTGTTTCATGTCCTTTTATAAAAATTCTTTTTTTTTCTATATATCGACATGGTCCGTTTTGACATTGTTTAATGGTCAAAAGATCTGAAAATTTTAGTCATGGATACGGTCATCCCTTGCACCTTCGTGTCCATTTTAGGATAGATCGTTTCTTCATAATCCATGTCGAAAATAGATTCCTTTCTTCTTCTTTTTTTATGGCTTAAGTTGGCAATGTTCTCTTGGTGCCTCTCTGTGTACCCCTTTTAATTGGTCATTATAAGTTTCTATCTTTCGTTCTTCGAACATCATTTGGTGTCTTAAGCTCTTGAATTTCATGGATTGTTTTGACATAGGTAGTTTGTTCAATTCCTAGTTGGATGAAAAAAAATGTTTTAGCATAGTTTGATAAATCTTGATGTTAAAATCTATAACACCACTCGATGATTTCTTGTGGTGTAGCGATGCTGATATATATATATATATATATATATATATATATATATATATATATATATATATATATATATATATATATATATATATATATATATATATATATA